ACTGTAGTCAGCTTTCACGTTACAGAAGGCTAGCGGCTGTCTATGTACAGTAATATTAGAATTTTCTGAGACAATGAATTTTGGTTTTTCTTTTTTTTCCCAGTAAGAGGTTTTTATTTAATAGAATTTTTGGACAAAAAAAATCGCAATATATCGCCTTGTTTATAGTATCGCAAGATATTGGGATATTTCGTATCGTGACCCCTCTGTCATGTTATGTATCGTATCGCCAAATTCTTGCAAATACACAGCCCTAGCTTCCAGACGGGTTCATTCTAGTTTGATAGAGAGGTTTATGACTATATAGCTGCACAGAAACTTTTTCTTTACAAATTAATTAAAAGACGTTAACAGAAGACCTGTCCATCCAGCCTTACATGTTGGAGCCAGAGTCTGACCCAGAACCAGAGGAGTCCAGACCTTTTTTAGAAGTTCTGTCACAAATTCTGTGATGTAATAGTTCAAAAAATGTCAGAGAAAACTGAACACGTTGATAAATCTGACCCAAACAGAATATAAAGATATCCATGCAGCACCAGAAACTAAACACTTTTCTGCAGAGACTCAAAAGTTACACAACAAAATGTATTTAAAAGCTAAAAAAGTGATTTTTTAAAAATATATGTTACCTTTAAGGTTGAAAGAGTGAATAAATTCACTTGCTATGAGAGAATCTCACAGAGAAGAACAGGAGGACATGTTTCTTACCTTCAGCAGCTCCTTGTTGGCAAAAGCTAAGATGCCCTCAAAGATGACCACATTGGCTCCATAAACTGTTTTCTACAAAAGAGAAGAATTAAGATAAGATAAAACATTACAATAGTCAATATATAATATCTAACTGGTTAACTAGCGGATGACAGCAGAGTTGAAATAATGAACATCCTTGATTGATTTAGTTGTTCTCCAATGATCAGTTTGACCAGAATAAAATGATTTAAATGTTTTTGTGTATCCAACAAGTTGAAGAAAACACAGGTGTGTATATAGAGTATATATAAACTACACGCCTGTAGCTTGTTGGCCTTCCCAGCTGACACCAACTCTCTGGGTCTGAAACTTAATTACATTCATCACCGTACAAAAGACCCATAAACTGATTCCAGCGTCTCGAGTCAAAGGAAGGCGATTTCCCACGACGTGCTCCGCCGCCGAGCCGTGAAATTACATTGTAGAGGAAAAGTGAGGAGACGTGGGAGAGCTGCACGACCAGACTGATTCCTCACAGAGCGTCTGCTTGGAGAGCTTTAATGTCCTGAACTCCAAATCCTTAATAATTAGCAAATTAGCATCTGAGCAGGCATCAGGTTGAGGGGTTTGGTTCTAACAGTAATGATGTCCTATTAAGAGATTAAAATGTTAATTTTTGTTGATGGTAATCAGTGGTGGGCACCAGCCCGCTAAAGCGCAAATCCGCTAATTGCGGACCTAAATATTTCGTTTGCGCTTTAGCGGTCTTATTAATTTTTATAATTCATAAGTGGATTTACGCTTTCTAAAATTAAAATGCAGTACCGCTAAAAACTAATTATCTACCGTTAATCATTATCTTGAACA